GCATTCCTGAACACACCAGTGTTTTGGTGGTGTTTTGGCTCAGTTTCTCTGTCACAGCAGGTAGTTGTCACCTCCAACAACTTCCAGAATAAGTAGTTAAGATAATTTCACAGCAATTATGGAGATTCCATACACAGAATTTTCTAGAAAGAACAATTTTCACAGGCAATGACTGAAAATAACATCTTGAACTTGCCTGAAAATTGAAAGATGAGGTAAAATTAGGAATGTGCAACACAAAAGACTAGAAAAGTTCTGTTCTTGTATGTAATTTGAATAGGACAATGTTAATGTTAGTAATGCTTTATGCCCATGGTGGTGTTCCAGGTATCTTTTACCATGTTATATAATTAATCTCCTGCTTTACTGTGTTACTGACTAACTTTTAGCAATACCCACCTGTAAAATACATCTAACAAAAGTTTATCATGCTTATATAGAGTTTTAGCTTGGATCCTGTGGAAAAAGAGATTCAGATCATGTTTGAAATCAGATGCACGTTTTTCTGAAGGCAGTTCTCAACAATATTTGACTGGTTTTGACAGCAGTGGGATGCCTGATTTTGAGTTAACATAGTGTTAGCAGCTAGAGCTGAGAAGGTCATGTAAGATTTCCCTCTGTGTTGATAGATGGTTGGATGGCTCATTAATGCTTCTTCGTAGAAAAATACTTGTAATGAGAATGGCAGTGGGGGAAAAAAAATGCAGAAACAATTAATAGTAGAACTACGGCTTATTATAGTGAGAACACACATGCTTCTTCACATAACAGAACTGGCCCTTGCAGGTATCTCCTGCCTCAGGTACAGTCTCTGACAGCACTGATCTCTTAAAATACAGTATTTACTTTTGAAAACATGACTGGGTAACGTACAAGAGAAATTAATGAGCAGAACAGACAGTGTTGCAATCAATCCTTCAACTCGAGTGTGGAAGCACCATTACTAGAATAAACAAAATAAAAACGCTACCAATTTCATATAGCTATGTTTCTTGTCTTCTGTTAGCACTGTTATCATCGCAACATTCATTCTGTTACAGCTACTGTCCCATTTTTGGTTTTCTATTCGTGTTCTTTCACAGCTCTTTTTTTTAGCAATTTAGCAATCTTGCACACAAACACATTCAACTGCAGCCTTCATTCTACTGATTTACTTGTTTTATTTTTCTGCACTGGAGAAGACTATTGCTGACCGAATGCCAGTCTAACACCGCTTATGTCCAGATGTTTAATACCCCTAAGTCCAAAATAATGCTTTTAACCACACTTCTGGACACTTTATTTATTCTAATACAACAATCCTACAATCCTTCCTGGCCTCAAAAACAAATTCCCTCATTCATAATGGATCTAAATAAGCTGATGTTTTCTGCTTAGCAGGCTTCTCTGATCTGCATACATTTCTCAATGGACGTGCAGCCTTTATGTAATTGGTATTTCTGTTTAGCTTCATTTTCCTAACTGGCAAAGACAATTTATTCAAGATTGTTTTTTCACAATTAAAGGATTGATATACAACTCACTTTTAGACAATGGCTTTGCTTGTCAACCATCTCTTTTTCTGCATGTATATTTCTTATCTCTTTTCTCCACCATGTACAAGGGCCTTATCTTTCTAACTTCCAAAGAAGGAACTTCTCCTGTTCTCCACCTTGCAGCTGTACATATTCTCAAGTTACCTCAGCCACCTTCAAATTCAACTTTAAAAACCTATGGCAGACACAAAAAAAGGTGATGGTAAATAACTGCTGTCCAATGCTAATGGCTTGTTATGATGGTTCATATTGTTTGTGTCCTTTGTGCTGTCCTGTATTTCTGTAATGCCTGGCTTTGCCCTTTCTTGTGTAATGCAAAGCAAATAACGTATTACTGATTTCTTATTATCTTGTAAGACTTTATGAACATACTATGAAGTGTAGAAAACAGCACTGTACACTGTTGCACAGTATTGTGTAGTATTTTTTTCAATGATTCAGGTGTGAAAAGGTTCATTCTTGTGTTTAAGAGTCAAACATGTGGGCCGCCCAGAAGTAACAGCAGGAAGAGCCAAAGTATCTTTGATAAGAATATTTATACTGACAACAATTAAGTAACTGAAACTGCCTTATTCCATCTGAATTCTTGAAAAGCTAAAATTATTAGATCACAAACAATATTTAATGGATTTAAGAAAATCTTTTCTCTTAAAAAGTTAAAAAAAATTCCTAGTAGGTGATAAATCTTTGGCTTCTGAATGCTGTACTTGCAATCGTGTTCTGCTTGATGCTGTACACAGGACAAAAATCTCCCCACTAGAAAGTATGTGCAAGCTTAGGAGAGGTGAGGAAAATCTCAGTTGCAGCTTGACCAAAACATCAGGGAGGGAATCGTTAAGGTTGGAAAAGACCCCTAAGATCATCTAGTCCTATCAGGTACTGTTGGGAAAGCTTTAACACTATAACTCTCATCCAAATAGCTCCTCTTCTATTAAAGAGCAACCTAACTAAACCAGGAGGTTTTAAAAGAACGCATCAGCATTTGAAAAAAGATGAGTGTTGTAATGGGGGGACACTTAAAGCACATAACTTCCCCTTGGGAAATCAGGGATTCTTGTTCCTCACTAAATATTTAAACAGAACAGAGAGATGAGGGGGGAAAAAACGCCCTGCAAAATCTCCTTCAAGCCACCAGAGGATGAGTACTCCTACATCAAAATAAGTCGTTAAGCTGTAATGTAGCTTAGCTTATTAGTGTCTTAGATGCTAGAATTTGAATTGTATTATGTCTAATAAGTGTAAATGAAGCAGACAGCTTGAATCCTTGCTGAATATTTCAATTAGCAATTTGTTTGTGGAGGGCTGACTAATATTATTTAAACTATGTGTATCGGAACATTAAAATGCATAAAAAGGCACAGCATCTTAGAAAAATCAGTAGATAATTAGCTAAGCATAATATTTGCTGTTGTATAGTTAAATATTTATTTATGAGAGTGAAATTTATAATGCAGACACTGGTTCTATATTCTGTAAAAAGAGGGGCACACAGGTGATACAGCTACGCCATGCTTTGTCAGATGTGTCGGCTAGTTTAGCTTTTCAGTTGTTCTCTTCTGCAAATACTGTACTCCTACATCAACAGAACTCAGTATCTGGTCTGGCTGTCAGTCTTGAAACTATTTTTTCCAACGCTTACTTAATATATGGCCTTATGCTTAAGTATATTAAGTCTAAGACATAGGTTGGAGCTCCATCAGAGTTAGTGAACCCTTTGAGGGTACAAAGAAAGAACAAAGAACAGGGGCTCAGATGTCCTGTCCTTCACAAAGGTCAGCCAGGGGAAGAGCTTAAGCCAAAAGAAAGAGATGAGGTTAGAGAGTAAAACACCTTTCCAGCTTGCGCTGCTGGTTTGCTCTATGCGATGGCCAGAGAACGCTAGGAAAGTTGTTGTTAACAACTATCTTTGAAAGACTGTGTGGGAGGGTGGAGTCCAGGGAGACTGTGAAAGGGCCAACATTTTTTGACTGAACAGGAGGACACAGAATTACAGTGCAGTTGCTTTAAAATCCAGTGCTACAGAGCTCTGGGCTGTATGTAGCAGCCATTTCAGGGCACTGAGAAGGGGGCAAGGAGCAGCCTCTGCAGACTTATCAGATATAAATCATGTCAAACCACGTTATTTTCTTGTAGAACAAGACAGTAGATTTTGTGAATGGAATGGAACAAAAACAATGGTTATAACTTGACACAGCTGTGGCCTTTGGCATCGATTACCATCACATTCCTGGAACAAGCTTAGCAGATTAGGATTTCTTTTTTCTTACTGTGCAAAATGATAGCAAAAATTGTTTGGAAGAAGTACTTAAAAACAATCAGTAGTGGTTCAGTTCCAAATTGGAAGACTGTCTTCCAGTTCCTTTTTTCCCCTTTTGTTTCTGGGGTATGACAGTGATCACTAAGGAAGATGAGCTGTGCTGGTAACTACAGCAGTCTGCTGGGCCAACACACAAGGAGCTCCAATAAACATCGTTAGAAAAAAGTTAACCTTAAGGAGGAGATAGCTGTCATATAAAGAAGCAACTTAATTCGAGTACGTGTACTGCCTCGCTGCATTTATTTGTATCACGCAGTGCCTGCAGGTGAACACAGCACCGACCCGCCGTCATCTGGGACCGCCGGATCGGCTCCATCTGAACGGCCCGCTGAGTTCGGAGCGAGGCGAGCGGAGCCAGCAGGGGGAGCCAGCGCGGCACAGATGTGCGGCTGAAAGGTACCGGGAGTAACCCGGCAGCAAGGCGGCTCGTCAGGTAACCGAGCAGCAACGAGAGTTCTCCTCAGCCTGGCTGCAGGATCCAATACGGCATCCAGGCGGCGCCGGCCCCTCCTGCACTCCCGGCTCCATCAGCGTTGCCCGTCATTTCTGGCCCTGATGAGCCTTCAGCCGTTACTTGTGCGAGAGGCGCTGAGGTTCACGCAGGCTGTGCCCCAGTGCTGCCGCCAACGTTAGTTGCTACGGGTTTTAATACTTCTGCCGAAGCGGCTGCCAGGAAGGTCGGGAAATGCAGCTAACCTTCGCGCTGCCTGTTATCTGCCTCATGGAGAAAACGTAGAAGTTCACTTTCTAAAGCTTTTTATTGCCCATTCTGTGGTTTTACGCTCTCTTCCTTCTCCTTCGGTCTTTACCTAGCTCTAGTAGCGGCAGATGACACGTGTGAGCGAAGCAACAACCAAAAAGCGAACGCCAAGTTCTGCACCAGGATTTGATTTACAGGGGCGTGCGCTGAACCCAGGCCCGCCCTCCCCCCCCTTTTCCCCCCCCAGCCCCCCTCCCCTCCGTGCCACCGCCGCAGCAGCAGCAGGAGGGCCGGACACGCGCTCGGCTCCCGCTGCCCCGCGTCCGCGCGCCCCGCCCCGCGCCGTTGCAGCCCGGCTCCGGGTCCGGGCGGCGCTGCGGGCGGGCGGCTGCCCCCTGCCGGGCGCGGCGGCCGGCTCCTCCCCGCCCAGTCCCCGCCCGCACGTTGCCCGGGGAACGGGGGGTAGGGAGCAGCCGGGCGGCCGCCGCCTCCATCCATCCCTCCGTCCGTCCCCTCCTTTTCTGCCCGCCGGTGCCCGCAGCGGAGCGGCACCCGCCCCGGCCGCCATGCCCCGAGCCGCCCCGCTGCTGCTGCTGCTGCTCGCCCTGGCCCAGCGCCGCGCCTGCCTCCCCGCGCCGGCCACGGCCGCGCCCCCCGGGTCGGACCCGTGCCTCAGCCGGCCCTGCCGCAACAACGGCACCTGCTTCCCCGCCGCGCCCCGCCGCCTCCCGTCCGCGGCCGCCTACCGCTGCGCCTGCCCGCCGGGGGTCAGCGGCGCCTCCTGCCAGGTAAGGGCGGCCTCCGCGCCGCGTCCTCGCGCCCGCCGCTGCCCTTGGGCGTCCCCGCGCTGCCTGCGGGCGGCTCCGTCCCGTCCTCGAGCCGCCGCGCCCCGGCCGCGGGCACCTCCCTGTCCGCGCCGGCCTCGGGACGCGCCTCGGGGCCGCGGCCCTGCCCTCGCCGGGGGGTCGGCTGGGGGAGCCCCGGCAGCGCCGACCGAGGGCGGTCGCCGCGGCGCGGCCGGCTCTCTCCCTCGGTTCGGTATCGGTCGTTTCACGGTGAAAAGAACCGTCCTCGAAAGCCGCGCCGAACGCTGACGCTCCGCCGGGTCCCGGTGCGTTGGGTCGCGCGGCCGAGAGCTCGGGGCAGCGCTGATGGCGTCAAACTGCCGGCGGTGCCTTCCCGACACGCGCGGTCACAGCGGCGTGCAGGATAATGTAAAATCGCACTGTCACGTGAAGGCATCTTTTTTGTCTCTAGCTCTGAGGATGAAACGCTTTTGTTAGCGCGTTCAGCAGTTCAGAAGAACAACTTCTTCTGGGGAGAAGCGGGCACAGCGAGCTTCGGGCCCTGCGGTGTGTGCGGGGCTGCGGTGTGTGCGGGGCTGCGGTGTGTGCGGGGCTGCGGTGTGTGCGTGACGGCAGCGCCGGACGGAGCGCGCGGGGCGGCTGCAGTGCATGGGGCAGCGCTGTGTGATCCGACGGCTTCAGTGTGGGAGCCCATAATTCAAGCAGACACAGTCTTTTTTGTTCTTTTTTTCTGAGGGGTGTGGGGGTTGTTCCTTGCTTACGGCGTACCTAAATCGTACAGCTGAGTAGATGGGAGAACACGCTTAGCGAGGGCTGGCCGTGCGGGTGAATTCGAAGTCGGAGAGGAGGAGCGCTGCGCTCCCGGTGCGGCACCTGCCTGGAGGCGGCTCCGTTGGGTCCGTGTAGCAACGAAAGTGAAAATACTAACGCTAATGAGATTCTGTAAAGTCGGAGATTAAAGCGGATTAAATAGAGTTCTCTTCGGCTAATTTTAGCTGCCGGCCTCCTAAGAGTTTAGCGCGCTTCTGTCACTACAAAGAGAAAGAGAGCGCTGCGTGTTTGCTCCTGCTCGCCGCCGTTAGGCTCCGGCGTCCGCATCCATGACTGAAAGATTAATGACCTTTTTAAAGACTTTGTAAAATGGAACGCTTGCTGACATCCTACCTCCTGCGAAGTGTTGTGTCTGGGGAGCCGGCTTTAATTGTTTCTTCAATACAGAGCGAGGCAATATTTTCACAGCGGTTTTATTAACTGATGAGGGGAGGCTCACAGCGCGGTGCGTTTTGATTCTTTTTATAAAGTACTGAGCAATGACTCTTGTAAAAGAAACCGATAAACAAATGGATGCCACTGCTGGCTATTATGTCAGCAGCTGAAGCGTGGGCATCAACTCTGGTAGGGTTTTGAAATGTAACCTTAATTAACTAGAGAGCGGGCAGGTCATTATTTAATATGTAAAGGGATAATGTAAGCACGTTGCTGTTATCCACAGTTGAGGTTTTGCTCATTGTATCAAAATTGAAAATGAATAAATACTGCACGGATGCATTAATTCTTGAGCTTTCCTATTATTCAGATGGAAACGGTCACGTTCACCGATTCAAAACTAACAAATAAAATAATTTTTAACCCTTAAGTGATATGAAGGAAGCTATGGGTTAAACCACGTGGGTCAGTGGAATGTATTTAGAGAGGTTGCTTCTGAGGTTGTTATTGGACAGTTGGACTTGGAGAAGGCAATACCCAGAGGGCAAAAAGAACAGTACTGGTTACCTGGATCAAATACCTGGGTCATTGGAGGTAAGTTTGTTGAAAGTGGAGTTCTTTGGAGCCACAACTGCCAAAAGACAAAATTACTTTTGTGTTACTTTTTGTAGGGAAGGCAGCATCTCTCTCCTCCTTCCCACACGCATCAAGGCGTAGAATGGAAGAAAAATGCTCTAAATGTGCCTACAAATCAGCTGGGTGCAATGAAATTATTAAGATAGAAAGACTGATAACAAAGTTTGAGCTTGCCAAAAGATTTTGTCATTGAAGTTTTTCCTGTGACTGATCGTGATGCACTTGATGATGCTGATGCTGACAGGGGAGAGAGGCAAAGAACAAAAGTGTCATCAGGTGCGTGAGATACTTTTAGAGGTCGAGGTAGAGCTTCCCTATTGCCAAGTGAAGTAACTTGGCCTTCATCCAACCCTTATGTTATAGTTGTTTTGTTACTCATAATTTATATAACAAAAGTGATCTTAGTATATCCACGCCATGCATTATTCATGTCTGTACGTCTCAAGTTACTTAGGGTTGGAATGTAATTTGTTTGGCAAACTTCAAGATTGCTTTGTTACGAATTGTTTGGCTTGAAGTCACTGGTGATAGGTGAATGGTTGGACTGGATCACAGAATCACAGAATGGCCAGGGTTGGAAGGTACCTCAAAGATCATGAATCTCCAACCCCCCTGCCACATGTAGAGCCACCAACCTCCCCATTTAATGCTAGACCAGGCTGCCCAGGACCCCATCCAATCTGGCCTTAAACGCTTCCTGGGATGGGGCATCCACAGCCTCTCTGGGCAGCCTGTTCCAGCACCTCACCACTCTCTCTGCAAAGAATTTCCCCCTGATGTCCAACCTAAATCTCCCCTCCCTCAACTTAAAACCATTTCCTCTCGTCCTACAGTTATCTACCCTTTCAAAGAGTTGATTCCCCTCCTGTTTGTAGGCTCCCTTTAGGTACTGAAAGGCTGCAATGAGGTCACCCTGCAGCCTTCTTTTCTCCAGGCTGAACAAGCCCAGCTCCTTCAGCCTGTCCTCATAGGGGAGGTGCTGCAGTCCCCTGATCATCTTTGTAAGTTTGGATGATCTCAGAGGTCTTTTCCCACCTTGCTGATTCTATGATTCTGTGTTGTGGGACCTTGCTGTATTTTAACTCTGCTTCTTTTAATGGATTTGATCTTTTCCCCCACTCCTCTGTGCCGTATTTCTCGTCTGTGTGAAGAGTAAATAGAGTCATTGTGTTGGGGGATCTTAAACTCTGGGCTGAGCAGAGAAATCACACGTATTCCCTATGAAACTGAACAAAAATTGCACTGAATTCAGGTGCCTTTCTGCAGGAATTTGGAGTTGTGCAATTCTCAGTTTAAACTGAGAAAATTTGATTAAATAAAATGAAATAACTTTAATAGCTGTCAAGCAGTTCATGCTGACATAGTCCCTAAACTTTTACATGTGTTTTTCTTTGAGAATTGATCTTTAACCTTCCTTTCTAACCAATAGTGTAATGACTCTTCTGCTGTTTCTAATCACACATATAATCCAATACAGTGATTTTTTTTCTCAATCAGGAGAGTTTTAGGAAAAAATTGAATTGTGTAGGTAGCTTTTGGAATAATTTTAGAGACATGAGATGCAAACTAAATAGAAAATTGTAGACTTGGTTATTTGCTTAAAAATGCAAAATATAAACATAGTTAATTGCATTAAATTGTATTATGGTTATTTGGTTCAATGCTAATTTCACTAACAGATTTGTGAAAGGAAACATTAGTTCGACGATTTTTAAATACTATCGTGCATGCTTCTTACTTCTTCCCCCGCCCCTCTCCCCTTTGATTGACAATTTCCCTGCCTCTTTTTCTTCAGCGCTTCATAATTTCACAGTTTGTGGCAGTAAGAGAAGCTGGGACAGGAGCAGCATCTGCGCTGTGCACAGCCTGCCCAGTGCTCTGCATACAGCTCTGTGCTCTGCACTCCGAGGGCTGTGGAGGACCTTCTCTTACTTCTGAGAGCACTGTGCTGGCCGCTGCTGGAACTGCTGTTGGTTTAGTGTTGAAATAAGTATTGTAGTAGCAAAAAGAGAAGGATTGTTATTTCTTGACTCAGTGGTCTAATGCTTCTGAAGAAATAGCACGAAATTTCATTGGCCGGGTTATTTCAGGTTTCACTAGACAGTGCTATGCAGAGGGACATCCTTTAATCTAACTGCTAAATCACCTTTATGTCGCTATCCTGATTAATTCTTCATGAGCTCCTGTTTTCTATTAAGTGCTGACATCACTAATGAAAGGTCTCTAAATCCTTCACAATGAGTTCTCTAACGTATTTAAGAAGCTATTCTTTCTCTGTTCTCATTAATGAAGGGCATATTCTTAGATGATGTGTCTATTGTGATGCAAGTGTTTTGCTATGTGGCCACTCTGTTCTGTCTTGTGTCTTTAGCAAAAGTAAATCATGCAGTTAGAGGAAGCCCTGGAGCCTTGCTTTATCTCAGCACAGTTGGTCTTGAGTTCTGAGCTACCTGGTCACCTCCTGCTGACTGACTGTGAACTCTAAGTTGAGCCTTAGAGTAGATGAATTTAAATATTTGCATGGGCGCGTGTTCCGTGCGTGAAAAGTGGCTGCGTGAGCTCAGCTTGCTTTTCATGGAGAAGAGGAAGCTACGTGCCATCTTCAGCCTCATAATGGGTGGCCACAGAGAAGGATGGAGCAAGTCTGTTCTGAGGTGCAGTCAGTACAAGGACGAGAAGTGGCACACACACACATTAGATAGGGGAAGTTCTGGTTAAATTGGAGAGAAACATTTCTTGCAACGATGGAGGCCAAGCGCTGGATCAGGTGCTTGGAATGGTTGTAGGAGCTTCTTCCTTGGAGATTCAGGGCCCTGATGGGGCATTGGTCCAACTGCCCGAGTGTTTGGTTCTCGGTTGAGTTAGAGAATCCCTCTTGCCCCTGTCCACCTGCAACCTTTTCTGTGAGTTTTTGTGCTATCCAGATACCTCATGAACTGTGATATCTGCTGCCAGGCAAACTAAGGAATTTCTACAGCCTGGCTATCGAGTATCAGATACAGGGAATGGTAGCACAAAAAACTGAAAATGAAAAAATAATTTATCCCACATTTTATTTAAGCTATTATA